GTAGCCCCAGGGCCCCTCCAGGCAAGAATACTGGAGTAGATTGCCATTCCCTTCTCCAGAGATCTTCCCCACCCAGGGAAAGAACCCTGGTCTCCCGCACTGCAGGCACATTCTTTACCGTTAGAGCTACAGGGAAGTCCTATAGGAATTTTTGCCTTATAAGTTAGCAAATATGTTTTGCAGAGAAAATACCAACAATGTCAAAAGTGAGTCCTTTGACCAATGCCGTGAGAATGTAAAACGGGACACCCTTTAGTCACCAAGGTTGGTGTCCCCAGTGGCCTTAAACATAAATACCTTTGACCCCCAACAGTGCCTTTTCAGGAACCCATTTTCTCTGGAAGTCACTGATATCTAGACAAAGCTTTATGCATAGGTATTCACCCAAACAATGAGCTTTAAAATTCACTTAAAAATGATTAGCAAAAACTAAAATCTAAAATGGAAGCACAGTGAGGTAAAATATAGAGAATCCATATAATGGAATATTATGCAGCCACTTTTTGAGTGTATAGAGTAATGGAGAAACCTTTAAGTATAACATTAGGTAAAAAACACAGGGTAAAAAAGCATACTTGCATTAAGATCTCCTCCAAGTAGGAAATACATATAGAAGGCCAGGCTGACAGGCGTAAGTGCCTTGGGGTAACGAGATCAAAAGTGATTCTCTCCCTTCTTCTCCAAACTTTAAATCTTTTGGGGAATTCTCCAGAAATATCAAGAGCACTGTGTTTTAGCTGAGCGGAAATAGGAAAAAAAAGGTCTGGCTGGCTATTTAACTCCCAGGCAGCAGCAGCAAACTCGAATCTGAGGTGTCATTCCAGACTTTCATACATTTACAAGGAACCTATGATTGCAAACCATCACCACCTCCAGAATGAAAACATGTGCGGTCTACATTTATTAGACAATTTGACTGACATTGTAAGTCTAGTCTAAGGGGCACTGTGGGTAAGAAATACGGGGCGGGGTGGGGGGGGGATACACAGGATAAAAGCTATATACCACTTTGCCATTTGCCAATACCTTTCAGAGACAATAGCTCATTTGCTCCTCACTAGCAGTCAGTAACATGACTGAAGTGACTTAGCAGCAGCAGCAGCCAGTAGGCAGACAAAGACAGGGGTTAGCACATACTCATTCTACAGGCAAGAAAACAGAGGCAGAGAGAATCACATTCCAGAAAGTGCAGGCACACTTTAAGTCCAGGGTTATGACCTAAAGGTTGGTACTCTTTCCACTCTATCATGTCTTTACACTATTAATGACTCTTTATAAATACCTTTGGGGCTTCGCAGGTGGTAGAGTGGTAAAGAATTTGCCTGCCAGTGCAGGAGACATAAGAGAATCAGGTTCGATCCCTGGGTTGGGAACATCCCCTGGAGAAGGAAATGGCAACCCACTTCATTATTTTTGCCTGGGAAATTCAATGGACAGAGAAGCCTAACAGGCTACAGGTCATGGAGTCACAGAAGAGTTGAACACAACCTAGCGACTAAACAACAACAACAATATGTAAAAGAAAAACCTGTTTCTCTAAATATCTTAGAATAAAAAGAAATTCCTCACTATAGGGCAAAACAAAATGATCTGGTAATAAAAGGCCTCAGAATTGAACAGATGTGACTCAAGGTCAAAATCCAACATACATACTCAAGTGACTTGTTCAAGTCAACTTCTCAGGATTCAATTTCCTCATCTATACATGGAGGAATAAAATTATACAGCTAACAGGATGCTGTAAGAATTAAATGATTTTAGTACTTAGACCAGAACCTGCCACAAAACAGAATAAATACTGCATTCCTTCCTCCAGAAAAGAGTAAAGTGCCTCCTGGGTACTAACTGCAAATTCCAATTTTAGTCCTGTTAGCCGCACCAGAGTCACTAATCTCTCTGCTTTCAGCAGCCCACCAAATCTTCAGAATTGCTGAAGTAACTACCCTACAATTCTCAGAAACCACTCAGCATAATAGTTTTAACCAATGACAATTTCAATCACTTTTTATCAATTTTTAAATAACTTCTCTTCTGTCCCAATATGTAATTGAACTTCAACATCAGAGACAAACAATTCTTTAAAAAGTAACAACAAAACTTCTTCCTCCATCACCTGGGTCTTTGATCTCTCTTGTTCAGACTCAACTACTCAAACGCCCAAATAGCAATGGTTGTTTAATTTACTTTGGGGGGATACGCGGAGAAGATGGGAAATGGCGGGCACACCTCGAGTTTTTCATTTTCTCTTTCAATACAATTTGGGCTCGGAAGCCCAAGCCCCAAAGGGTTACTTTATCAAAACATCCTGCACACTGACTACGAAGAACACAGATACACAGCCAAGCAGCTACCTGGCCAAAGAACAACCCGGAATTTAATAAAGCTTATCGTGAGCATCTAAACGAGGAGTCAGGAGGCTGGATGGAAGCCCACAGAGTCCTGGGAGAGGGCACTGCTCATTCACCAGTCCCTGGTCCTTTTCAGTCCACTCCTTCCTCAAAGGCTATGTCCACTGTCTGCAGAGAAACTAAGTCCTGAGTAATCAGAGAACTTAAAGATATAAATAAGCCAAGTGTGGAAAACCATCCCTTCTGGTGCAGGGGTATACAGTTTCAAATGCTGCTACCAAGACAGAAGCTTAAAGAGGTTCTACTAGGCAGGAAGTCAAACAGACATTGCCACTACCCACTGTGCACGTACCTATCCTTATTTTCTCTGCTTCCCAAAGTCTGATAACCCCACAGTGAACAATACTATGATGTCCTAAACTCCCTACAGTAGAACCCCAACAAGACACCGAAGTTGATTTCTGTTCTATTTTCTCTCTGAGGAGCAGTGAGGTCTAGGGAAAAGCGACTGAACTTTGGACTCAAGCAGGCTGGGTTATCAAAGATAAAGATACATGTAGACACACTCACACACACCTCCTAGTGGTTCTGCTTCTCTGACTGAATGCTGAATGATACACTAGTTATGGGATCTTGGACTAATTGTTTAACCTCTCTGGGCTTGAGATACTGCACTGGAAATAAGAACTTCATAGAATCATGAGAAATAACTATAAAAATGAATATAAAGTGCCCAGCTCAAAGCTTGACACATAACAGATACTTAACATTTCTCTCAACTTTCTCCCTACTTCCCTAAACCAAGCCTACAAAAGTTAACACTGTCTTAGATTCCGTGGGCACCAGATGTTAGCTGCTCAGGGCATATTTTCTCCATGAAACAGGTCTCAAGTCACACTGGCACATCTGTACTCTGTACTGTTTCCTTTTAGATACCTCCTTCTTCTAAAGTGTTATACTGCGTAAGTAAGAGCTTTCATCATCACATTCCAGTTTGGAAAGCTGGTGCTGCTCAAAGATCCATCAAAATACATACTCACACTATGGAAGGATTTCTCCCGCTATGACTGATTACATGCATCATGTGCTGAATTTTTAACAACTTCCCTCCCAGGTTAAGCTCTTCAAATTCTGCAGCAACTGATTCTAGCCCTGCAAGTACCGTTTACAACCTGAGGTCCAATTTGAACCTGATGATGCCCCTATCTGGGCTTCCCTGGTGGCTCAGATGGTAAAGAATCCACCTGCAGTGCACGAGACCTGGGTTCGATCCCTGGGTCTGGGAAAATTCCCTGGAGAAGGTAACGGCTATCCACTTCAGTATTCTTGCCTGGAAAATTCCATGGACAGAGGAGCTTGGCGGGCTACAGTCCATGAGGTTCCAAAGAGACACAACTGAGCGACTAACATTTTCACTTTCATGCCCCTACCTGTCTCAGTAATGGTATGCAGGGTGAAACCCCAAATCTCTCATCCAATAATACATGTCACTAGTGCCCATTTCCTCAGGGTGGTTGGCTGAAGGAAATACAGATCTGCTAATAAAGACTCAAGAGACATACCGTTCTGTTCCCTTCCTAACATATTCCAGTTTCTATGAAAGAGTGAAGACCAGGGAGCTAAGCCAGTTTTTTTAAACATGCAAGCAAGCAGATTCTTCTCAGGAGAGAAGAGCAGTATATGTGTTTTTAGGAAGGAGATAGTCATGGTTGGAAGGCTTCCAGTTACTTGCTTATTATTTGGACCTGAAGAGGAGCTGCTCAAGGTTAGAAGGGTTTGCTGACGTAAGATTCCAGGCTATAGTAACCCCAGTTGGCCAAGAAGGTATACATTTATTATTTTAACTACTGCTGTGAGGTGGCAATTAAGAGGGGACAAGTGGGAAGGAATCCCTAGCGTCTATAGTTATAAAAACAAGAGTGTGAAAGAGGAAGGACTTCCGTGAAAGTTACACCTCGTCTTAGATTTCAATTAAAAACTCCTGTTCCAGGTTCATCACTGGAGACAGTATTTTATCATCTCTGCTGATGGCTTCCTGCTCTGACCACAGAAGGCTCCTCTTGTGGTGACAAGAATCAGCTCAAAGAAGGAAAGGTAAGTTTACAAACTCGCCTGCCCTTTTTCCAAAACTGATGCTAAAATAAAACTTGGAAAGAAAGGGGAACTCCTCAAGGCTTTAAGATTTAAATTAAAACAAAAAAAAAAAAAAAAAGAGGGGGGAGGAGGCCGGCGACAACAGCGCACCGGGTCGCCGGTGTCACGATCTTCCGCTCGCGGGCCCTTTGAGGACAAGGGCAGGAAAGGGGTCCGCAGGGCTCCGGGTCGCTCTCCCCAGGCGGAAGCGCTCCCCAGGAAGGCAAGAGCCCGCCCGGGTCCCTACAGGCCAGATAGCTCAGAGGCGGGGGCAGGGGGGCTGGTAACAGGTTCTCGCAGCAGCCGAGAAGAGAGAAGGCGGGAGCCCAGCGGGCGGGAAGGAAGGGCCGGGAGCCATCGCCACGCGCCGCGCCCGACCAGGGCCACCCCAGGACAGCCAGATGCTCAGCGCCACGACGCGGCAGCTGTGCCAAGACCAGGGAAGCTGGGGGCTCAGCGGCGCAGCAGTCCGGATCCCTCGCGCACTCCTGCGCGCCCCAGCCGCGACAAGGCACTCACCCGAGGCGACTAGCGGCGAACTCACGGCGCCTCCCACGAAGACAGCAGCGGCGAGCACGGCGGACCCCGGGAGTCCCCGCGGAGCCATCGCGCAGTCCCTTCGCCCTCCTCCGCCGGGGCGCCACGTCCCGGACTGCCGCTTTGAGCGCAGCTCTGGGGTCCGCGGGCCGACAGCGTTAGTCTTAGCAGGGTTCAGCCCCCGCGCTGCGCACCCCGCCCCGCTCCTCAGGCCCCACCCACCTCAGCCCAGCCCCGCCTCTCCCAGCCGAGCTCCGGGCTCCGCCTGTACCAGCAGGAGGTGCATCCCGTGACCCCGCCCCCCGGACCCGCCCATCTCGGCCTGGTCCCGCCTCTGCCCTTCGCCTCCGCTTCCTCTTCAAGTAGATCCGCAGCTCCCGCTGACGGGATTAGTCTACGGTCCCGCCCGCAGAGCCAGCCCCACCCTCCTGTCCAAGCTCGCGCGCTGCCTTTCCCAGAACCGCGGGACAGCCGCTGTTAGCGAGGTAGACTGGGGTCGGGGCAGGGTCGCCGGGGCTTGTCCTCCCGGACGCCTGGACTAGACGGGCGTGGGAAGAGAGAAAGACGCAACAGGTCTGGAAGCTCTGGATGGGCGTGCATGGACAGCGCTGGAATGGGCAGGATCTCTCTTCTCTGCCGGCATCTCTAGTCAGGTGGCATTCCCCTCGGTGACTGGTCTGGAGAGGGGCGCTGCACGGGATGACAAGTTTCAATGTTTGAAAATGAGGAAAGTCAAATCAGTTAAATTTCTTCCTGTCTCCACTTCCATTTAAGCTGCTCCTATTGGGGAGAAAAACCTCTACGTATCTCTAGAAACAAATTGCCTTTGTTTTTAAATCGTGTGCCCACATTACACCTTGCAAATACTTCTACGAAGTAACTCTTAAAGTGCTTAGTCACTTATTATCTCCTTGTATCATCACTGCCTCAGATATGCGGATGACACCACCCTTTTGGCAGAAAGTGAAGAGGAGCTAAAAAGCCTCTTGATGGAAGTGAAAGAGGAGAGTGAAAAATTTGGCTTAAAGCTCAACATACAGAAAACTAAGATCATGGCATCTGGTCCCATCATGGGAAATAGATGGGGAAACAGTGGAAACAGTGTCAGACTTTATTTTGAGGGGCTCCAGAATCACTGCAGATGGTGATTCCAGCCATGAAATTAAAAGATGCTTACTCCTTGGAAGGAAAGTTATGACCAACCTAGACAGGATATTAAAAAGCAAAGACATTACCAACAAAGGCCTGTCCAGTCAAGGCTATGGTTTTTCCAGTAGTCATGTATGGATGTGAGAGTTGGACTGTGAAGAAAGCTGAGCACAGAAGAATTTATGCTTTTGAACTGTGGTGTTGGAGAAGACTCTTGAGGGTCCCTTGGACTGCAAGGAGATCCAACCAGTCCATCCTAAAGGAAATCAGTCCTGGGTGTTCATTGGAAGGACTGATGCTGAAGCTGAAACTCCAATACTTTGGCCACCTCGTGCGAAGTGTTGACTCATTGGAAAAGACCCTGATGCTGGGAGGGATTGGGGGCAGGAGGAGAAGGGGACGACAGAGGATGAGATGGCTGGATGGCATCACCGACTCGATGGACATGAGTTTGAGTAAACTCCGGGAGTTGGTGATGGACAGGGAGGCCTGGCGTGCTGCGATTCATGGGGTCTCAAAGAGTAGGACACGACTGAGCGACTGAACTGAACTGAACTGATCGTCACTGCCAGCTCTGTGAAGTAAGTAGTATCCTTATTTCACAGGCTAGGGTGTAAACCGACGATGATCAGGCCACCATGATAAATTGAGATTAATTGGTCTTCACTGTGTTTGCTCATCGCTGTGTCCTCCCCACCTGGCTCAAGGACTGCACACACACTTCGCACTACGGAAGAGGTCAGAAGTGGTTTTTGAAGTTGAATTATCATCACAAGGAACAGTTTACCTCAGAGTCTTTCTCTGAGTAGTTTCCTCTTTGCATGCGTCCTCATGGACTGCAACCCACCAGGTTCCTCTATCCATGGAATTATCCAGGCAAGAATGCTGGAGTGGGTTGCCATTTCCTCCTCCAGAGGATCCTCCCAACCCAAGGATCAACCTGTTTTCTCCTGTGCTCCTACATGGGCAGGCAGATTCTTTACCACTGGGCTACCTGGGCAGCCAGTTCCCTAGTTACTGCCCTTTAGAGACTCCTTCTGAAACAGAGTGGTCAGGTCTTAAACAAACATTCAAGAACACAAACAAGAGGACGAGGTGGGCACTGGAGGTTTTCACCGAACACACTCTTGTTTGGCCTGTCCGTGTTGGATTTTCAAAGGAGGACTCTTTAGCCTCTTCACTGAGTCTCCTCCACAGTCTACTAGACTCTCACAAAGATGTACACTGATGTGGGAATTCCCAGTGAAAGCAGCTTAGGCCACTACAGATGGCTGAAGCTGAGGGGTGGCCCTTTGAAGACAAAGGTGGCTATGTGTGTCCTTTGCACTATTATCCACACATCCTGCAATCTGGCAGGTAAAGCAGTTTATTCTAACTCAAATAGAGTAGCTGCAGGAGAAAGAGGTCCATGTGGGTTTCTAATTTAAAAAAAGAAGAAAAAGAAGGAGTCCTGGGCCTAGAAATTAAACTATAAATTATAAGTTGTAGCCAGAACCAGTTACATAATTTGCAGAGTCTTGTGTAAATGAAACTTTTTTTCAAAATTAAGAATTTCAAGATAGCCATAATCTGGTTAGATAGCCTCTCTAAGCTTGAGGCCCTGTGTACATCACATACCCATAAAGCCAGTTATTGTTTGGGAGCTTAAAATGTAGCCAAATGATTGAACCAAGATATCTCTTCAAAATGACAAATATTTTAAAAAAAGAATAGTGTTCCACTCTTTTCTTACAGATTGAACTTACTATTAAAAAGACAGGACCATTTTTAACAACATATTTGAATTGGATGTCTGCTTGTGGCTCTCCAGAAATAAAAGTACAATCCAGTAGTTAAAGTTAGAGGAGACCTCAGTAATCATCTGCCAAGCCACTTATTTTACAGATGAGAGATAGTTAAGTGTCTTGCCTGCTATCTCATTGCTAGTGTGAGCCAGAATTGGAACCTAAGGCTCTAAAATTTTCCTTCTCAGACTTTTCCATAACACTTAGCTGCTTGACTAAGTGTTTTACCATAGATATTTTACTGTAACAGAACCTCATGTACATGCATTTGCACATCTTGTTAATGGAAAGAGGGAGAGAGGGAAAATGGGAGGAATGAAAGAAATGAAGCTTCACTTATTTTCCAGGTACTTAATCCTACAGATTTGTTCACTCAACTTAAAAAGCCCCACATATGCATTATCTAAAAGTGATTACCTGCTGTTTTATTTTAAATGTGAAGACATCAATGTGATTGAAGCTCTCATTCATATTAGGAAGGTTTGCCATATTTCTTCTGAGGAAATAAAAATTTAACATCCCGAGACTAAATAATTTCCCCTTTTTTTTTCAGAAATAAAATTAAAGAATCACAAGTAGAGATAGTTGTAATATTAGCTCTCCTTTACTCATCTTTTAGATTCAACTCGATCCTGGGGCAAACACTTTTCCTGTGTTCCGTCATCAGATCTTCACAATTTTATATTTGGGTAAATATTATTACTGATTCTCACTTCAGAGTTTAGGAGATTAGGATTTTCAGGATGAAGGCCTTTACCCAAGTCTCACAGCTGCCTGGACTCAAACTCACAGTCAGCTCACTCCAGGCCTACACTTGAACTTCTGTTTCTACTGCTCTGCCTTTGACATGGAGGAAAGCAGCCAATCAGTCGGAGAAGGCCATGGCGCCCCACTCCAGTGCTCTTGCCTGGAGAACCCCAGGGACGGGGGAGCCTGGTGGACTGTCGTCTATGGGGTCGCACAGAGTTGGACACGACTGAAGCGCCTTAGCGGTAGCTTAGCAGCCAATTAGCTCACCTTTTCCAATACAGAGCCTTCTTCTGTCATTTTTTACTTAACCTGGCCTCTTTGAATTCTGTGTCAATAATAGCTTAAGTGCTTTTTTTTTCCTCAGAAAAAATTATTTATGGGAATGTGTTATAACTAAGAGCTTCTAGGAGCCAAATTTACAAACATACAATTTTCCATCCTCTCTGGTTTTTGTTGAATTTTATGAGCTTTTTTCCCTGTTTCTCTATACGAATTCAGTTAATCATTCCCTTGACTAGAAACCTTTCCTGCTTTCCTCTGTGCTAGAAGATGGCAATTTTCATCACCATCATTTAAATGCGTAAGACTCAGTTGGCTGGTATTTACTTTAATTAATGTTGAAATTACTTCAGCAGAAGGTCTCTGCAGAATTTCTTCTTTCTCTGATTTAGATGTGGTCATCTTTCGTTTTGAGAGATTATATCCAGGAGAGAAGCCTACAGTTCTTTGAAAAATATGTTTTCAGGGGTATCAAATGATGTTTTATAAAATCTAAGGTCATTGTGATTTGACAAGATGTGTACTGTGTTCCTTGTTTTGGACTGAGGGAGGAGGTTGGAGGGGAGAGTATTGTAGGTATAATAATGGATCCTAACCTGGCTTGTAGACGCTTTTAAAATATACCTGGGAGAAAGGAAAAAATTGCATTGTGAAACAGAAATGGTCAAAGACGGAGGGATCAGGATAAAGCTGTGCCAGAGACTCACTCTCTGACTTTCAGCATCTCTTTGGTCAGTCTGCTTACCCAGACAATTCAGGCAGGAGATAGGATGATTTCTAGAAGTTCCCCTCCAACTCTAAGATTCTGCACCATAATGAGTAATCAAATGATAGGATGTATGGTGCCAAAGTTGGGCTAGACTGTAGGGTTTCTCAACACTATCAATATTTGTAGACTGGATAATTCTTTGTTTGGAAGCTGTTCTGCACATTGTGGAACATTCAGCTGCCTCTTTGCATGTGTTCATGCCAAGTCACTTCAGTTGTGCTAAGCTCTTTGTGACCCTATGGTCTGTAGCCCACCAGGCTCCTCTGTCCAGGGAATTCTCCAGGCAAGAGTACTGGAGTGGGTTGCCATGCCCTCCTCCAGGGGATCATCCGGACCCAG